GAAATTTCAGTCACATTCTGGATAAGAAACAAAAGAGTGAAGGAAAAGGAAGTATTGCATATAGCGATGAAGAAAAAACAAAAAAATCTCCAGAATGAACTTGATGCTGAAGCTCGATTTACTCTCGATTTCTTTTTACTATATATATATATAATATACGATGAACGAAATCTAGAGAAAGGATGATGGAAAAGAAGGAGAGAGAAAGAGAAGAAAAAGAAGGGATAGGATGAAGAAAGAAGGATAGAGGATGAAGAAAGAAGGATAGAGAAAGAAGAAATAAGGAATAGAGAAAGAAGAAATAAAGGATATAGAGAGAAACAGACGCATGTGTGTATATACATGATGAGCGAGAGTGAATAATATAGATTGAAAAGCAAGTAAAATAAAGAAAGATAGAAAATAAGAGAGCAATCCAAGTTTAACGAAGACCTGTCAACGTCAACGATAATGGCAGGGACGAGCTTTTTACTACGGTGTGCCATCCTCCTCCAAGAAAGGCCTATCGACTTCTTGGATCTTGGGTCCCGCGACCGGACTCCACTATCTGTGAACTCGCTCTTTGACTTTGGATTCGTGCTATCGTGTCACTTCGGCGAAGAGGAACCTCTCGCATATATAGAGACTTTCGACCTGGACATTCACTCTTGTATACTTATATAACATGCCTCAAAGTATCAAACGATACTTGTTAACTTCAAGACGTATCACTCGAGTTAGAATTCATTTTCATTTCATTCCATGATTCCCCATTCACACCCCTTGAAATTTAAAATTGCACCAAAAGAATTTGACACTTCAGGTAACACTTTAGTAACATTTTCACATTTTTCTTGAAAGTAACAAATGGATATTTGATTCAAAAAAATTTAATTAGAAAACCGACTTTCAGTGTCTAAAATTAAAGTTTCTTTTTTAATCATTATTTTTGGGGTTTTTTAGCAAAATGAAAAGTCATCGATTTTACTTCTTTTATTCATCAAGGAAATTGCACTAAAAACTATTTATTAAAATATAAAATAAATTCTAATTTTAAAGAGAAAAAACAGAAACAATAATTGATTGTGTCATTCTGACATTGTATCCATAAAAATTTTACCTCAGATTCGTGAATGAGTTTTAGATATTCAAATATTTTGACACTCCATGACATATGAGTCACCGATTAGTGTCCTACACGCCACGAATGGAATTTAAAATTAAGTTCAAAACTAAACTTTCTTAAAACAATACTGGAATTGTAAAATTTAAACTAAAATTAGATTTTAAAATTCAAGTTTCATAATTATAACGTTTTTAATAATTAATTTTAATAAATATACTTTTAGCATTACATCTATAAATTCTCGTTAAAAAAATAAAATACATAAATTATTAAAAAGGAAACCTGAATAAATTAATAAGGAAGGGTTTTTTCTTCTTCTAAAACTGGCAATTTGTAAATTATGTTTTCCTTCAAGATTCTAAAAAAAGAATTATTCATATAAAATACAACTTCCTTGCATCGAGGAATATCATCAACCGGAAAAAGAATGTCTTTTATTAACGTAATCCTTGAGCATAAAATTCCAGAGTTGAACATCTGAAACCTAGTTATTTGTTATTAATGATTATGTCCTTCTTATAGCGGAATTAATGAAATGTCTATTAAGAGAATTCCAACTGAAACTGGAATACATTTCAAGAAGCAGAAAATAAAATAATTTTACCCATTGATATTAAATATCTCTATTAATTAGTTCAATTTATTTTTAGAGTCAACTGCACTCTTTCAGAACTAAAAATTTTCCCTTCTTTAAAAATCAATTCGAACTGAAGATCAAATTTTCAAACCTAGGAATGTAAACCAATGATCCAATTTTAACCAATTTTAACTGATTATTATTCTAGAGTATAGAAGAGACTAAAAAATATTATTTTTGATCTCTTATTCTAAGACTAACAGAGGGGAATATTTGTCGAAAAAGAACCTCAACCAAAATTCTGTGGTTTTTGCGGTTATATAAATACACTTAACTTTTATTTCCTATTTAAATTAACAAGAAATACGATGTAAGTTATGGCGAATCTACCAAAGAATTCTCTCTAACATATTTGAATAATGAAACATATTGAATGAATGGAATTTTCGAGCGCACATGTGGAAGAAATTAATATTTAACGTATATTAACTAAAACCAATGAAGAGAGCTAATAAATTTATATTATATAGTTTTATCAAAAATAAATATATTCCACAATAATTGAAATATGTAAAGCAATTTGAATGCATAAGCTTGTAATTTCCTTCTGGCGCATCTATTAATACGTTTTGAGTTTAGAATTTAAATTAAAGTGTTTATTATATCCCTGGCGATTAAGATATTCTGGAATTTTTCCATTACAATTTTAAAATGTAATTTAATCATCATCATCGTACTTTTTTTTGTTATTTTGCTACTTTAATTTCCAACAGCAGTTATTTTTCAATTTCACGCGGGTAATAATAAGTCATTATAAACTGTTATTTCTTCCATTGAATTCAGTAATTTTGCATTATAACAAGTTACATAATATCAACAAATTTTTTTTGTATAAATAAATTTAAAATTTTAATGTCACAAAATCAGTTCCAGAAAAGTTTTCAACGATTTCAATTTTTTATAAAAAAAATCAGTTCCAGAAAAGTTTTCAACGATTTCAATTTTTTATAAAGAACATTATTAAAATTTTTTTTTAAATAATTGAACTCCTTGGAAGAATTTTAATAAATTTTACAAGAATAATTGCATTTTTCAAAAAATTATTCATTTAAAATTGTATTAATAATAATTGAAATTAAATTAAAATAAATTAAAAAATTAAATTCCTAGGAAAATTTAATTATTTATGAATATAATTGAATTCTTGTGACGATTTTTATTAAACATTTTTTTTATAAATAATTGAATTCTTTTGGAAAACTTTATTGAAAACATTTCGAAAAGTTTTTGAAATTCATTAATTTTTTACGAAGAATTTTATTAAATTTTCTTTTAAAAATAATTAAATTCCCACGAAGAATTTCATTACAGTTTTTAAAAGTAATTAATTTCTTTCAAGAAATTTAATTAAAAATGAATTAAGAATAATTATTAAATTCTAATAAACCAATTATATCAACTTTTTTCCAAATAATTGAATTCTTTGGAGGAATTTTAATAAAATTTTCAGGAATAATTGCATTTTTCGAAGAATTTATTTAAAATTGTATTAAAATAATTGAAATCTTGCAAACGTTTTATTATTTATAAAAATAATTAAATTATTGTAACGAATTTTATTAAATTTTTTAAAAGTAATTAAATCTTTGAGACAAATTTTATTATTTATAAAAAAAATGAATTCTTGCGAAGAATTTTATAAAAATTTTTTTAAATAATTGAATTCTTGGGAAGAATTTTGAAAAATCTTTTTAAATAATTGATTTTTTTGCCAAAATTTTTATGGAAATTTGTTTTTTAAATAATTGAATTTCTATGGGAATTTTATTATTTATGAAAATAATTGAATTATCGCAACGAATTTTATAACAATTTTTAAAAATAATTTAAATTCTGCAATAATTTTTAGTTAGTTATAAAAATAATTAAATTCTCGCTAAGAATATTATAAAAAAAAAATTTTTAAATAATTGAATTCTTTTGGGACATTTTTTTATTAAAATACTAGACATTCAAAATAATTGAATTCATTGGGAAAATTTTATTAAAATAGTAGACATTCAAAGTAATTGAATTTTGAAAAATTGTTGAAAATAATTGAATCGTTTGAAAGAATTTTATTAAAATATGCCGAAAGTATTAAGTACTTTATTAAAATAATAACTTTTTTATCCCACCTAGTAGCAAATTTAAAGTAGTGCCAATTCTCAAAAATAGAAAAAAATTTGCTTTTAGTGCCACAAATCTAAATAAAGTATCCAAATAGTATCAAATCGTAAAAAAGTAGTAAAATTTTCATTTAATACAGATAAGTAGGAAGCCTGGTATAGAAGTCATTTTTTTACGAATTAATAAAACTGTCAATCGTTACGTCTGTTAGATTATTCACCATAAAAGGTACAGGCTAAATAAGGCTATTTTAAGTCCGCAACGTTTTTTAAAATCGAAATTTTTTTTTTTCAAATTAAATTCTTCTCTACACTGTAGAAACAAAAGTCTTAAAGTACTTACACATCTCAAATCTGTTTTTTCTTGAATTCAACTCACTTTTTGGGCTTAAAATATATAAATACTAGACAAGTTTAAGTCTTAAAATCAGATTTCTATTTAGAAATTTAGTCACTCTCTAAATTCGAATTAGTAAAAATGTTTACTAATTTAAATTGAACCCCTTGATGCAAGAACCAAACAGACCATTGAGATTAAAAGGGCTGCGTCTGGTTCTTGCATCAAGGGGTTAAATTATTAGTGACTGACTTTTTTCTTTTGAATTAGTAAATTTTACTAATAAATTGGTAGAAATTACTAGTAATTAGTAAAATTTACTAATTCAAAAGCAAAAAGTTAATCACTAATTCAAATTAGTAAATACTTTTACTAATTCAAATTTAGAGAGCACTATTTGGGCTAATGTAAGTTTTAATCAAAAGTGTACTTTTCATTTGGGTAAATTTAAGACTTTATAATTATTACTTAAAAATTATTTGCTCAAAAATAAGATGAATTAGAAGTAAAATAAATCGTCGTATTATTTTCTGTTTTTCTTCGTTTTTAAAATTGTTGCTGACTTCAAGCCTCATACAGTCTAACCTAATGACTATATGTATTACTACATTTATAATATATGTGAAGGTGCAGTGTTTTTTTTCCATGATTCTAATTAAAAGACATTGCATATACTTTTAGGTGTACACTTATTTTAGAAGACGTTCGCAAATTCCATATAGGAGAGAGAGAGGAGGAATTTTTTTTCCAACAACACGCCTAATATATAAACAAAGAATTCACGTAATAGTAGTCGTTACGAGAGCCGTTTACCTTGAGAAAGCAGCGTCCAACCGGTAGATCCTCGGGCACCGTGGCGTTGTACAATGGCTTCTCGAAGATGGGTTCGTTGTCATTAAGATCATGCACTGTCACACGAACGGTAGCACTACTACTGAGAGGTGGACGACCCGAGTCGGTAGCAACAACAACAAGAATAGGCGCCGGATCAGCCTCACAGTCCACGTGAGTCACGGTACTGATCAAACCCGAATTCTCATCAATCGTGAACCACGTTGTATTCAATAAACTATATTTTATAACTGAATTTGCCCCCTCATCCAAATCCGTAGCACTGACACGCAATACCGATGTTCCCGGTTCAGAGGCCTCTAATAAATGAGCATCGTATCTTTCCTGAAGAAATTTCGGCGCATTATCATTCACGTCCGTCACTAAAAGTCGAAAGGTCCTTAATGCCCTGAGGGGTGGTGTACCGGCGTCAGTTGCTTCCACTAAAAGATCATAAACCGGCTTTTCTTCACGATCAAGTGGTCGTTCGACGACAACCAAATAGATAATGTTGTCACGTGTCGTCAATCCAAAGTGTCCGTCGCCACCGGACAGTGTGACGGTGGCATTCGAGTATTCAGTTCTCGAGTCAGGATCGCTGACCGAGATTCTCGCAACAAATTCACCGGGTTGTGCACTCTCACTGATCTTGGGCGTTGCGTCGTCCGACAGGAAAATGACGGTGATCGCTGGCTGATTGTCATTCACGTCGGTGACATGGACTGACACGAAGGTACTTGCTTCAAGGGGCTGTGCACCGCGATCCCTAGCGACGATTACAAGTTCGTGTCGCTCCTTTGATTCAAAGTCCAATGGCTTGTTCACATAAACCATACCCGTTTCCGGATCCACTCGGAACATCTCCTCGCGGTCCGATTGACGACGATTGATCGAGTACTCGATTCTGCAATTGTCACCGGCGTCCAAGTCGGTAGCGTTCACCATGAGAATCGGTGTGCCGACGGTGGCATTCTCCGGTACACTAGCCGTGTACCTCGTCTGATTGAAGATCGGCGGATTGTCATTGACATCTTGCACAGTGACATTGACATGGAGTCGGGATCTTAAAGGTGGTGCCCCACCATCCAAGGCCTCTATCACGAGATGATACCAGGAACGCGCCTCACGATCCAAGGAACCAGAATTCTGTAAATCCAAATACAAAACCCCATCTCGACCCCTATGTTGCGAGAGTCGAAACATATCTCCATAATTCCCAGAGACAATTTCATATCGTTGGGTTGAATATTGACCCAAATCGGGATCCTTAGCAGGTGGTAGGGCACGTTTAGCATCGCGTGGTGAATTCTCCGGGAATTCCACATCCACATGCTCGGCAGGGAACGTCGGTGCATTATCATTTTCATCCAGAACTTTGATGATCACCCTCACATTCTGAGGTAGAGCGACGAGACTATACGATGGTCTAGTTTCCCTATCAAGAGGAACTCGTGTTTTTATCTCCCCAGTTCCATGATCCACTATCAAATCAGCATCAACCGCCGAACCAGGCACAGGAACAATTAAATCCGCATCGATATATCCAACTCTCGTTCCTGGCGCTGCATTTTCCGAGACCTCGAGATATTGCACGCGTTCAGTTCTCATACCCGGGAATTTCGTCACTCCCAGGACGAGAATCAGCAGCAAGACCCGCATCCTGGGTCACCGCCACTTTCCGTATACTATCTTGATCTTTTCATCTCCATTCGAATAACCGCGTAAAATCACTTCACAGTTTTAATCTATTTATCATCACCATTCACTCACAAACACCACATCACAAAACACCTTATTTGTAGGGTATTAAATCCAAAGTCAAAAATCAGGATGCAAGAAAGAAATTAAATCTTTGATATTCTTATAGATGTCTGTATGCGTAAGTATCCACACGTGGTGTCTGATCATAGTGAGTGTAATACACAGCTCATCGTGATCATTCCAGCAAAGACGTGCGATGACCTCTCTCTCTGAATGCCTGCAGTTCAGCCTTCACGTGCGACTTCTTTCCAACTGATCAAAACAACATGGATTTTATGCTGGAATAATTTCAATCAGAGCGTTTTCCTCTTGGTCTCGAGGCAGAAAAAGAAGAGAGAGGTAGAGAGAGAGAGAGAGAGATAAAGAAAGAGAGTAAACTGACACTGGTCTTCTCCAAGAAGATCTTGTGGCCTTCTCTTTAGACGCGATCCACAGCAAGCGAGCACACAACAGGGATGAAAAACCTGAACAGTATCGACGGAATCTCACATCACCTAACGCAATAAACCCGCGCTAGCCGGTGCCTCGCAGAACACACTGCACACCATAAGGCCAAAATATATCAATTTTCAAAGATAATTCACTTTAATCCACTTGATTTGTGCAATGGGGCCACTATTTATCATATTTATATATTTATATCTAGCAGAACATCACGTTTTTTCGTTTTTTTTTCTATTGTAATCGAGTATAACAGTACACGAGGATATTTTAACGCGACGTAAGGCCCAGCGTCTATTCCGCGCGGCTTCGAGGTTAGGCATGCACTGACATGGCGGCACCTGCTAGGTCTTCCCTTCCCCTGACTTTAAGCGAGTTGCTGCTTTTGCTCGGCTCAACCACTGGACCCAACGGCGGCCATCTTGGAGAGGGGATCGCTGGGCCCGTTTGCTCGCTGGCTCTCACTCGCTCACGAACCTCGACATTCGACTCGACTCTCCGCGGCAGCGAGCAGCTAGAGTACACTATACTAAAGTGCCTGCTTGCTTGCTTGCTTGCTTGCTTGCCTACCTACCTACCTACCTACCTACCTGAGAGTAAGGTATGCGAAGAACTGACTTACCGCCGACACTCCCTTTACTTCTACGTAACTTCATGCCCGGAAACTTTTGAATTTATCGCTCGCAATTTTTCTTTTATTCATAGAAGAAATACTTAAATAGGACCCTAAACAGCACTTGATATTAATGTGTGAGTGGTGGTTGTAAGGTTATGTGTATAGTTTGTTAGGTTACATTGTGCTTACAATGGGAGATTACAATAAGCATATAATGTAGCCAACAGTAATCTTTCAGTAAGCATGCAATTTAGGCTTGTTGAAAATCTTTCAGTAGTCTCAGCAATCTGTCAGCATTATGTTAATAATATTTTAATAGTTTTTAGTCATCATTTTTAGTTAACTTATTTTTAGTAATTTAAGTATTATTTATTACTCTCTAAATCTGAATTAGTAGTTTTCTGCTAATGGAATAGTGCGGACTCGTTTACCAATTGAATTATTAACAGTTTTGACTAATTTCAAGTAGTTTTATACTAATTTAAAATAGTAAAAAATACGACTGAGTTAGTAGTTTTCTATCAATTACTATAAAACTACTAACGATTAGTCAAAACTATTGGTTGGTGTTATCATTTTCATTAGTAAACTTAGCTATTTTATCAGTTGATTTCAATACTTTTTTTGTTAGTCTACCTATTTAATTATAGTTACGGTAATAACTAAATAAAAATGACTAAAAAACTGATTATGAAACCTAAAATCGCCTCATTTTTATTTTAAGCCCAAAAATGAGATAAATATAAAAAAGAAAACACGTTTTACACAGGAAAAAAAAAGTTCGACTCCGTTTACACCTTAAATTCAGCCCATGTATTTCACATAAGTCTGTCCTTGTTTAATGGGGCTGACTCCGTTTACACCTTAAATTCAGCCTCGAAAACAGGCTAAAAGTAAAACTTTTTTTTTAGTGTGTACCTGTAAGCATCTTTGACTTTATTTTTACAATGATACTAGTAACCTTTTACACAATTTAAAAAATCTTTCATTAAATTTAAAGAATATTTTAATCAATTTCAGTAATCTAGTCACTACACGGAAAGAAAATTAATATCATATATTTTACAATTTTATTTTAGGACTAATTGAAACAAAGCTAAATTTTGATGTCAGAAATACTAAACTATAAAACAATTTATATGAAACTTAATACAGCTATATTACAATTTATTAAACTTTTTCAATATTTTACATAACTACTCAAATTCATGTAATATTTTTTAAGTAACAAACATCGCGACCACAAGACTGAAGTTCACTACATTTTACAAATTTACAAAACGAAAGTGACAAAAATCGCGAACACGAAACTAAAGGTTCCTGAACTGAACTTATTTACAGAAACATTTACCTGAACGAACGTGACAAAAATCGCAAACACGAAACTAAATTTTCCTGAACTGAACTAATTTACAGAAACATTTACCTGAACGAACGTGACAAATATCGCGAACACGAAACTAAAGTTTCCTAAAATTTACAAATAGGTAAGTTTAAATAAATCTAATATTTTTCTAACGATCATTAAATTTAAAGAAATTTAAATCTAATTACTAACGATTGTGTAAAATTTGAATGCATAATCAAAACTATTTAACTATTGCTCACTTCGTTTTTCTAGTTGACTATCATTTTTAAATTATGCACAAAAAGGATTAATTGTCTTGCGCATATGTTTTGTTTTTTTACTCTTTTGCTAATTTTATTTTCTATTCCAGAACAATTGAAATTAATATTCCGACATTATAAGATCATGAGTTGGCAAAAAAGTTAGGAGCATCGAAAAATTAAAAAATTAATATAATTTCTAAGTGTATTAAAGAATGATGACATCTAATGGCAGAGATATATAAGTATAAATCTCTAAATGAGACAAGAAAATTTCGCTAATTCACCACGTCATAATTAATTACCCGATGGGCAAGAAATGTCTTCCATAAAATATTTCATAGACGTATTTTAATTATACAAACATCTAAATTAAGTTGAATATTTTAATTTAAAGAAGTTTAAACTTTTTAGTTAAAGAAGTTAAACTTTTAAAAAGTTAACTTAAAAAAATGTTTAATTTACCGAAAAAAGTCTAATTTAGAAAATATGGAGAATGACAAAACCCCTTTGTGAATAACTATTTCTATGAAAGAAAAACAAGATTTTCGAAGAATTTTCTCAAAATACAATCGAAACTGTTTGTTTAAAAGAAGAAAAAAATCCTAAAGGAATTGAATACAAAAAAAGAACTAAGGAAATTAATGAAAAAGTAATAGAAATTTATGTATAACAAAAAAATTAGTGACCGATGTATTTCGAAGAAATAGATTTAAAACTATTTCGTGGGTAAACAGGCATTAGCGTCAAAGATGTTTGCGACTGTCATAAAACCACTCTTAGAGAGTAAAAATATTTTACAGCAGTAAACAGAAATGAACCAATATTTGGAAAACAGAAAGATAAAAATTTCGACCTTGAATTTCAACGATTCCTATCTCTTTTATAAGTGAAGAACATTTAGAACAATGATTTACATCCAACAAATTTTAACCCTTACTACTAATATTAGTAAATTACTAATAAATTAGTAGAAATTACTATTTATTAGTCAAATTTATGTACTAATTCAAATTTAGAGAGAGTAAGAATGAAATATAAAAAATTATAAATTATTTATAAGAATAATAATATTAATAAATGTGTAAAATGCTTCATCCTTTTTTAAATTTAAATATTAAATTATAATTAAGTTATTCAATTAATTTGTTTATTAATCAATTACTAATTAATTTTTATATTATAATAATATATAATAATGTCTTCTTATTTTGAAATTTTGTCTGGTAACAAATAAAAATTAAAATTTTAAATATTAGCAATAAAATTGAAAGTTAAATCAAACAAAATACCAAAGTCATAATTTTTAGTAGATATTAATAAAAAAAATCAAGAATCTTTCTAATAGTTATAGTTCGATTTTAAAGTTACTGAACAATGTTTTTTGAAAGAATTGACAAGAATTATTTATCTCCCTAGAGTGAAACACATAAAAGTTTTACGATTTCACTGGACTACCTGAAATAAATGCTTTCAGTGGTCGTCACTGTAATAAACGGTTGCGAAAACTGCGTGAAAATTAAAAATCAAAAATATTCCATTTGTTATGAAATACTAGTTTAATACCCAACGTATATGTATATAATTTACATTTTTTATTGAATCTCACACGATGAAATATTGAAAAAAAAATTTTTTTTAGAAATCACCATAAGATTATTACAGAAAAAGAACTAATACTTAAAATTAAACTAATAAATTATTTATTAAATTATTATTTGCTTCGGTAATGTAAATTAAACTTTAGAAATAATTATAAGCATCAAAAATATATGTGATCGAAGTATTTCTAAAGTTCTGAATATTCAAATGAACGAGGTTTACTTATTTCTTTTTCAAATTCAAATTTTATTTGCAATAATATATTGGGCCATGTAATAAAAATAATTTATAAGGTTTTAAAATGTTTTATTTATGTATTTAATTGTTAATTCAAATAGTAATTTCTAAAAAAAAAACTTTCATTCATTTGCACGTTGACAATTTTTTGATAAATTTGAAAAAATTTCCAAAAAATAATAACTGATTAAAACTGTAAAAATTGATTCAAGAAAAATGATTACAAGAGGGAAAAATATATTATAATTTGAAATTTGAAATTATTATTATTAACATTAATAATATTAATGATATTATTTTTAATAGTATTAATATTAATAATTTTATCATCTCAGTAGTACAAGTAAACTATTAGTCAGTCGTACATTAAAATATATATTATTAATAACTAATTAATTAATTGAATAAGTTAATAAATAAATACTCAAATTAAAAAAATTGATAAAGCATTTTACACATTTATAAATAGTATTATTCTCATATATATATATATATATATATAAAGTGTTCGATGCTTTTTAAATTGATAACTTTCCCGGAAAAATAAGAACAACTTCTTTATAATAATGAAATGCGTGAAAAAAATTAAGGTCGTTGACAGGCACCTTCACGTATATATATTAAGTCGATGACACCATTTCCAGGTAAAGTTCTTCTATAAGGGTCTCAAATGATAGTGCTAATATGAAACCATAAAATATCTTTCTCACCAAAAGATTGATATTTTCAAGGACAATAAATCTCTTCCTCGAAAACAATTGCGAGAGCTTGGTATAATTTACAAACAATCCAAAGTATAGGTAAAAAATTTAATAAAAATTCAATATAAATCAAATCGTCTAAATTCCTATCTTTTATGCTTTTCTCGAATATTCAATATAAAAAAAAAGAAGTTAAAGTATTTTACACATTTATTTCTATTTACTGTATGTTAATTTATAATATTCAAATTTTTTAGTTTTAATATTATATCTTTATATGTCCACGTGAAAGGATTACCGGAAATCTTCACATCCCCAGGCCCAAAATTATCTAGCACTTTAGGAATTTGAAAAAAGTGGGGTAAAGTCTCAAAAAATGTGTTTTTGGGGGTTTTAAAGATTTTTTTTCTCTTTAACCTGATGTGTTAAGGAATTTCATGAGGTTTAAAATTAAAGATTTAAGACTCATATATATGCAAGGACAAAGAAATTCAAATTTCTGAAAAAACTGGAGTTAAACACGTTTTTTAGGTCAGTAAAAACACTTTTCTCAAAATCCAGACGTGCTAGACAATTTTGAGACCCGGGATGGTGATCAGATGACAGAAATACATTAAAAATCACTACAATATCAAAAATTACCCCAACAAAATTCTTTTTGGGCCTTACCCCCACTTTTTAAAAATCCATTATTTTCTTAATCTTGCTAATTTTTGTACTTAAAGTGCACGTTTCAAAATTTAATTTAAGACCTCATGGAAGTCTCTAACACGT